TTATCCAACTCTCATCAGTCCCACCCTCCTGTCTTCCATCAGATACAAGACTCAGGCATTTTTTGGACAACTTTACTATGCCTAACAGRATTGATTTATCCCTACCAAAGCGGTGGAAAAAAATCTGCTTCTAACCATTACTTTCAGCATCTAGCTATAATACTGAAAACTGCACTCTTCCTTAATAACAGATACAAATATGTGAATAAAAATAAAAATACTATATTGAAGTCCTTCTAGACTGTGCCGGTCATTACATCTATTTCCAATATTTTTCTTTCCCAAACTCTCATGGCCTGTTTATTTGTTTGCCTACCAAATGATTCTCTAGTCATATTGGCCTTGATTGTTAGTACAACATTGATGCTTAAACTTTCAGCAGTATATTTCAGTGGGGAGAAAAAATATATACAAATAAACACAAGGAAAGCCTTCATGAATGATTTCAGGGTATCCATCCAAGTTTTACAGGAAATTGCTGACTACTTGATCAAATTTGATACACTCRGAAAGAAAACCCTGCTTTTCAGAAGTATTCTTTAGTGCTAGTATGAAATGTTAACCCTGCAGTCATCAGCAGGATGATTAACGACAGCCTTGTGAAGCACATTGYATTCTTTCAATTCATTATGCAAAATAGCTAATAGAGGAAAAAACAGTGCATCTAGTACACTTCTGGTAGACTTGTTTTGAGGTTTTTCATTAGCTTTGTGTAACTCTTGCCTAAACAGAGCTTGATAAATCTAAACACGGGCATATAAACGCCCTTCCTTTCAGAAGTGGTAGGTAAGCACAAACGTGCTAATTAAGACAAGATACAAATACTTACTTTTTTTAGAAAGGGATAAAAGCCTTGTGTACATTATGAAATCAAAGGGAACTTCTAGCTATGGAAGTCTCATTAAAGCAMAACACAAAAGAACCCCACCAGCAGCAGCTCAGTGCAGGGCTTTGCAAACTTGCTCAAAACTGTTCTTCCCTTACAGGGGAGAAACAAAAAAGTTCACATGGATTTTTTTCACTTAAATGAAAGGAAAGCATTCTTTGTTCTCAAAATGCAAACAGATGCAAAGCGATTGAATTACTGTTGGTGGTTAGCTCTCTAGATGCTATGAATGCTGCTGTAAAAGTTTAAGAGCCCTCTGATTTGCACAGAGAACATTAATGGTTTGTGCAGTGTGTAATTAAGCTATATGTATGCTTCCCTSAGGTCAACCAAAAAATTAATAGCAAATTTCCACCAAGTAACATTTTTTTGGGTTTTGTTTTTCTTTAAGGTAGAAGTGTTTGCTTCTTTTTCTTGGTCAAATAGTACCCCCTACTTGTGAAAAAGTCCCTGCTTAAGTTAATGGTAAATGACTACGAAAAATCTTACTTTCTATGTTCATTTATTCATTTTTTTTTCCCATTAAAATATGAGTACTGTAAAAAATGAGTACAAAATTTTTAATCAAAGTTCAAACAAGAACTGGAACTCTGTTCCAATTCTCCATATATCCTTTTAACTTAATCAAGAGCAATAACACGTCTGTGATATCCACAAGTAATCAAAAATGCAGACATATCAAACACACATACGCTCTCTCTCTGCCTCTGTGTGTGTGTGTATATATATATATATATGTAGATATAGTCATATAAAGAGGCTTTTCTTGCCCCTTTTTTTCCCTCTCCAATCAGATGTACTCAGAACTATCTTGCCTGAACTGTTTCTCTCTCCAAAGCTTTTCTTTCCAACACAGTTATCKCAAAGGAATTATAGGACCAATTAAGCCTACAGACTATACTAAATTCTTGTACAGAGTTTTTTGCAAGAAGTTCCTTCACTTAAAATTAAGTATTATGTAACAGCTCACAACTCCATAATAGTGCAAACAGTTTCAGTCTGTTACTATATTCTAGGGATAATTTAAATTAGCTTTGCAATTACTGCAGCTATTGCCTTATTAGCTGTTTGTACTGTCTGGAATAAATGATGAGCAGAAAATACAAGTCTACTACCTTTGTTCTACACCGTTACAAACCATTACATCTCCAAGGTGGTGACTCTAATCAACACATGAGAATCAATCAGAAGAATTTGATGAATTCGAGTGGTAATTAAGGTGAACATATTACTGAAACCATTGTGAGACTTAGATGGAGAAAACAATTTCATTCAGTTGCCATGACCAGATATGGAAGCTACTYGACACAAAAATGTTTAAAATAAGCTAACAGATGTGTCAAAGAAACTGTGTGTATTCCGCAAACMCTTTTCCTAAGTTTTTGACACAGCAAGGGACAGATTATTTAGAGAAATCCTGTCAGGACAAACATTTAGTTGTGCTCAGGAAAGTTTAAAGCAGAAGCATAACATCTGAAATCTAGCTACCATAAAACAACATAGTCCTGTTGAAATCAACAGTATTGCAGTATCAATTTGAGTTCAAAAGTTGCTCAATAAATTCAATGCCTACATCCAGTATTCCTTGTCTTAAAGGAAATTTAAAAAATTATATTGTACTGGAAGTGTCTCTCTATCAACACAAAAAACTTCCAGAGTGCTTGAAAATAGCATTTATTCATTATGGACTAGGAAAGCCTTGTAACACACAGAAAGCTTATTCTGCCAAGAATCCAGCATGATAAGAGATATCAAAAGGATCACCCCACTCAGCACTCAGACAAAAAACGGCCATTCAGCCCATAATCYATCCCCTAGGAGCTTATTATATTGAATCACTCAAACAAATAAAAAAAGTTAGTTTCCCTAAGCAAACTGTAACACTCTCTTAGCGAGTTATGCAAGTCTCCCTTCTCAAATGCCACCTCTTTAGAGCTCTCACATTGACTGCTGAGGATGTCAGCCTGTCCTAAAGAGCTGTTCCTGCCACCTGTACAATTCCTGAGGCAAGAAACTAACAACAGGAATACACAGGATAATGACAGGAGCTAATGAACAAGGATAGCAGAGGAGAACCCTTGGAACCACAACTTAAAAAAAAAAAAAAAAAAAAAAAAAAAAAAAAAAAAAAAAAAAAAAGCCTCCCTCAACACCTCAAAAAAAAGAGTCCAAATCTTTTTCTTTTGCTGGTTAGATCAACAAGCAAAGCAGCAGTCAACATCAATAACTTCTTAAGCACTGTTAGCATCACCAGTCAACACGCTAGCATCTCCTTTCACATAGTCCCATGGTCCCATTCCCATAATTAAGACTTTGCATTAACAAGTGATCATAAACTGATCAGTCTTGAGCTCATCTTGACYGTTTTTCTTTTAAAAATAGTTTTTCCAAGCTACACACACCACGGTGGTTTCACCATGACAGTATCTCATAAGCCACCTTTTGTGCTTATTGTGCTATCAAGTCATTTCATACCTGGATTATTCTTATGAAACTTTTATAATTTGGACTAGATGCCTTGACTGCCTCTCTCTTTCCATCAGACATTAACATTAACCACCATTTCTCCATCAGACTGACTCACCAACACATACATTCTAGCTCTATTTTCATAGGAAGTCCACATGAACCCTGACAATTTACTGCAGCAGAGCAAGAACACACACACCAGCACACCTATATGTCCTGAGTCATCGGCTGCTTAAATCACCTCAGGACTGATGTCCTGTACAGTTAGGCCCTCAAGCACCACCAAGTTTAGTCTGAGCACAAAATAACCTAAATAATGAAAAAAAAAATAAATTAACACTTAAATAAAATAAGCTTCAAAAACGTAAAAAGGAGCTTTACCTAGTAATGATCTACGGAGGACATTTCCCAGTAAGGACAATCTGCTAAGGAGCAGGACATACTTAAGGGCTAACTCAAATTCTAACTAGCATTTGTATTTAAAAACAAAATCATCTCTCCTCCTAATCATACATGAATTGTCACATACTGCTGCACTTAAGAACCTATAGGGAGAGGAGAGAAGGGAAAAAAAAGCAAAACAAAACTCTGAAATTCAAAGTTCCTGAAAATGATTGCCAGCTTCACAAGGAGCAGACTGCTTCACCTTTCAACTGCCTCATGCTTCTCTGGTTACATAGCTCTCAACTGATACGAAGGTGACTTCACCTGAGTTGCCTCTGAGTTTAATCAGCAGCGCACTGCAATGCAGAAGGGACAAAAACTTGCATCAAACACACAGAGGCTGTACGAATAGTGTACAACATCACCAGGTGTATAAAGCAGAGTGCAAAGCCCTGGTGCACATCAGAACCTGAGGGGAAGCCCAGCAGCACAGCCCGTTCAGCAGCACTTCATTTCCTTTAAAAGGCAAAGCCTCTCATCAACCATGTTGCCAACCAAGCTGCATGTTCACCCAGCTGCTGATGGTGTGTTCTTGTTTCACTACAAATGGGAGTCCTGTCTTTTCAGTTATTTGCTCACACATGACTTTTCTTAAGCATAGAAATCTAACAACATTGCCTTCATATTTTTTGCCCAGTTTTCCATTCAGAAATCAACCATAACAAAAAATACAGATTATAATTCAGTCAATGACTGGGAATTTAAACATAAGGGTGTACAGGCAAAAACATGGTTAAGACTTTGAACATAATAATGTAGACAAATATTACATTAGCTTACCCTCCCAAAAAAGTGCAAAACTTCCTTGCTTGATTATTTAACCTCTGTAAGTCAGCTCTTCAAAACACAAGATACATACAAAAGTTAGCTTTTCAATTATTATGCTGTCTCCTACCTTAAAGTGACCTTTTTTGCTTTAACTTGAAGCAACATTTCTAACCAACCGTATCTTTATCATCTTGTAAGGCTGAATATGCTGCTCAACCATTTCCTAGACAAATCTTCATCGTGAGAGAGGCTAGATTAATGCAAACATTTAATTTTCAAATTCAGTRTTTGCATGACAGGAAGGTTATGTTCATCACCACCCTACTGAATATCAATCATTTCTTAAAGGGTTATCTTACTCCTTTTTCGTCTGCATGGATCAGCTTTGAGAATGCATACACATTACRTCACCTGACAGCTTCTTCATTTGTACCTTTTCTTTGTGTAACAGGGAGGTTCCTGAGGTCTTGCAGACTTCTCAAAGCCTTGCACTGTCAACAGAAAAAGTTTCTTGAAGACTTTTTTTCCAAACAACCTATTACCAAATATACTGAAATTTATAGTTTAACTGAAAAAGATAAACAATCAACTGGTTGACACACCAGGGAAGGAAAATGAAGGTCTAAAGGGAAAATGATTACGTGATTACACAAAAACAAGCCTGTGGATGCTGTCATCTTACCTATAAATAGTATGCTTTCTATGACAGAAGATATGACTCCTGTATTATCTAGAATTCTTTTATTATCCAGAATTAATGTCATTCTATGCTAATGGATAGAGGAAGTAAAAAAATACACAGATTTCAAGACTGAGGTAGAATTTCAACTGAACTTTTATGAGTTCATTCCAAAACGTGTTGCTCATTGCACATTATATTGCATAAGAAGATGACACTATTCTTGAACAAAACAGCCARAACAGTCTTACAGTTTTGTTATTAGATCTATAGATGCTTTCTTAAAATTTTCTGGAGAAGCAACCTACCTCTTTAAAAGTCACTGTAAACATTATTTCAAATCATTCTGAACACTCACCTAATMTTAGTTTAGTTTTCACACGTAAACATCACCCATATTGCCTTAGCCAGCAAGGTTGGGAAAAAAAATGATATATTTCTAATCTCCTGTTTGTCTACAACACTTCATACATAGAAGTAATACTTACAAGCAAAATAAACGTATCTGTGTATTTTATATTGCAGTATTGCTGGAACACACATAGTTTAAAAATTGGATTCCATATATGTCTGTCAAACATCTCCATTTTACTATATTAGCAAAAGGAGACCACAGAGAAGGCATTGATGTTGCCTCTACTAAAGGTCACAATTGTTCCATATTTGAAAAATTAAACAAAATTGAGACAAACATTGGAGCAAACCAGAAGGACTGACAGCATTCTTCTCATACTGCCAGGTTAAAGGGAAGAAGTATTTAACGTGAAACAAATGTTTCTCTGCTTGACATATTTGACTATGCTTAAAATTAATTTGCAAATGCTCTCATCGATATTTTTGTTCTATAAATAAGTCTAAATTAAAATGAATAAAAACTTCTAAAATTCATTACCATAACCTGAACCAACAACTTAGCATGTTTTGCACTTTCTGGATTTGTGCACTTTAAGTCCRTTTGGCATTGCTCAAAACCTGATACTCAAATGAAACTGCAGCTATCAAGCTCTCTTAAATCAAGGGCACTGAAGACCWAGGTTTCAACTGACTGTAAAGTCCTTTTATTTATTTATTTTAGGAGAAATAATTAAGAAATTACTTAAAATTGTTAGGTATATTATTATATCCACATATTTATTAGTCCCCAAAATGATATTAGTTTGCTTTGACATCAGGAAAATGTGGAGTACATAGTCATCAGTTTAGCTGTGTTCCAAGTCAGCCCCAAAAAAATAACTCCTATWTTGACAAACCTCATATGCTCCGGGGCCAGGAGTTCTCTCTTTTGGTTCCTTAAAACGCTCCAGCTTGGATATATATGCAGAAACGTGGGAAGCTGAACTCATCACAGGGTTGTATGTCCCAGGACCTACAAAATTAAAAAGGGGAAGAACCAAAATTATTGAAACTACAACATTTGTCAGGCCTGAAACACTACCACTTCATATATTTTGGTGTGTGTGTGTGTGTGTGTGTATATCTCCTGTTATCTTATAGAAGAAATACTCTGATAGTATATCTGACCTTTCAAAAATAACATTTGCAGTAGTACCAACAGTAGACTACTGATTTAAATCTTCTGGAAAGAAAAAGCGATCATATGTGAAGTTGTATAAACTTATTCACAGCATTCTGACAAATTGCCTTAACTTTGTTTAGATTAATTATCAATTGAATTTTGCCACTCCATTCTGTAAGGCCTTTCTCCTTTCAGGAAAACACATCAGCTACCAACAAAAGAAAAAKTGACAGAAAATTTTACTGATGACAGTAATATGGTAGAGAACTGCATAATACCTAGACAGGCCCTCAGGAAGGAGGAGCTTGCAGAATTGGTTGATACTGTTAGGGCTATGATTTGCTTTCACAAACATGTGATAACAGTGAACTTAAGTTAAACATCTCACTCTCCTCCTCCAAATATATCCTTATGATTTTTTTTTTTTTTTAAATTCTAGCAAACAACTTCCCAGTGTGGAAAGATAAAAATCTTTGTGTGTTTACTCACATACTGAGGCATCATAAGAATTCAATAATAAGTCTTCATGGATTTTATTTAGTTAAATACAGAACTGATCCAAAAATTCTTTCTGAAATTCTACGCTGAGATTTATCAGGGGAGGATATAAGAGTTAGGAGTTCATTTTAAATTCGTGCACTTGACATCATTATGTACTTGGTAAAACCAGAAGAAAAAGGACAAGAGGGAAAAATGCCAAAATGATCTTTAAAAGTTTTCAGAACACAGATTTAATTAATCATATGGATGACAGCAATAACATTCATTTCTAAACATTAGTTATCAAAACGTAAAATTGCATCTCCACATCTAGTGGCTGAACAGTAGCCACTTTTGCAGGAACTATTTGTTTTCATATTTAGTTCCACGTATGCACTCTGCTTACCTCCAGCTTCTGAGAAACATTCACTATTTTCATGTGCTTCCGCCCCACCTCCATCAAGTATTACCTTATTAACATAAATGATAAAGACTTCATGCTACTTTTTCGAATGATTGTTTCTGCCTTTACTGTARAATGGATGACTTTTCTTATAGTAATTTGATAGTTAATGGAAGACAGGAGCTTTATGACTAAATTAATTTTAACCATAAAAGCAGAAAATAATTACGTATGGATCACTAAAGACAAAATCATCCTTTTCTAATTTTTTCTTTGCTAGTATGAGACCGGTAATTTCACTATGGATGTGTGTTCTCTGTTACTCTTTGATCTCTGTTCGAGTCCAGATGTGCAACATTTGTCATCTCAGTGATCTTGCCTTGTGTATTTGTACAGCAAGTAGCACAACAGACCCCTGGATCAGGGTGCCCAGATACTGCTGTGATAAAAAATAATAAGCAAGTCTATTTCTTAGCTGGTGTGCAGGAAATGACTCCATGCCGAGTTCATTCGAACAATGAAAAGCCTTTTTGAATAGCATCAGAAGCTCCTTGATCTATGAGCTGGGTGTCTGGCTAATCTGAATGGAAAGACAAATATCTACCGTGTTACTACCAAGACCTACTTCAGTTCCTACAACATGAATAAACATTTTGTAGAGAATCACTTTTGAAACCAATTTGTCTGTAGTTTGATGCTTCACAGCAGTTATCTGCTCTTCACAGTTGTCATCATGTTATTGATTTTTTTTAAAAAATAAGTTATTCACAAAACTTCTATATAGGTTTTAATGCTGTAACATAATTGTAATCAATTATTTTCCTGATTTAACTTTTTAACTGTGTGTGGGAAAAAAAAAAAAGGCATCATTTGAGAAGCTCCTTGATGTCACCTATCTCTTTTATAATTATAAGGTAGCAATCTACCTTATACCTGCCTTAAAACATTAACCATCACAAAGGTTTCCRTACTAAACTGCTTTTATCTAACAACATATTCTCAATTACATATGCTGCTGCTCATACGATACAGGTCAAAGACTTACATAGCCTCTCAAGCATAACTTGGGAGCTGAATTACACAGAAGCTATCTTCCACTTATTTATTAAATGCCAGATTTTAATCATAGGTCAGTGAAGAATAAAAACTTCTCATTTAAATCAAATACCTCTGAAAAGTATGTCTGAATCCCCATTGGTATGTAATGGGAAAAAATGAAGAGCAGGTGATTCTTATAATTATGTATTTTCCAGCCCTATGGTAGCTCACTCTCTATGAAATGTCAACCAATGCTACAGGGCAAAAACAGCAGAGAACATGAGGAACAGGTAATTTAAAATGAAAATCTGCGCTGCTGGCTTCTCAGCTCAAGCATTCTGCTGCATTAGAAGGGGGCTGAAAAATGATTGCTTTTGCAAATAACAGATTTAAAACCCAAACTGGTTCAGAGGCATGAATTTGTCTTTGCAACGAGGCCAGACTTTGTCATATGGAGATTATTCACTTGTTTCTCTACATTATTGGTAGCGGCTGTTACCGCATTTTGTACAGCTTCAAAAGATAAACTGCACCTTGGAACGAACGCCAAGGTGTAAAAAGGTATATTGGAGGACATAGAGTAGAAGGTGTAATTTCATTTTACAGAAGTAAAATTTCCAATGTATTACAGTCTCTCCTTTAATTGAACTCTGAAAAGAAATGAAAATTGAATACATAAAAGAGACAATATTTTCCCATCTAAGAAGCAGTTTTAGGATTCTTCCAGTACTTCAGTCAGCAAGGTAGAAGGTAGACAAAAACCACACAGAATAACAGATCCATGACTAACAAATTGATGTCGCAATAAATCAGGAAGAAATACTCCAAGTAACATTGCATAGGGTTGGATCCAGAAAACATTATACTAAGCTTCACTGAACCTATGCAATCTGATTTATTTCTTTGCTTACAGTGAGTCAATTACATTAATAATTTCAGAGCTATTAACAGCACAGGCATTGCTTGAAACATCTGGCAGGTTTCTTATGAGTATGAGGCAATGCTAAAATATTAACCAGAARAAAAACCCATCTCTTTCCTTATTGTTATACAGGAAAAACAAAATACACAAATTTTAAATCTACTTAAGCCTGAAGTCTTCTGTAAGGTCGCAGTCCTCACACTAATCTCTTCAACTAGGTAAATAATTTGTTCAAAGAACTTCATTAAGAAAATGAATTGTTTGAGGAACAGTTAAGAAAAAAAAATTATTAGACATCAAGCTCAATTTGGAGTTGAAAACAGAAYGATTAGGATTTGTGTTTCCAAATGATGCTTCTTCCAGAGCCACTAACAGTAGCATATTACTACTTCTCAAGTGAGTGTATCATAAATATAGGTATATATTCTACCTCACTATCTCTCAAATGAATAAGTGTACACAGTCGACCGAGTTCATTCAGTTCCTCAATTGCTAGGCTATTAAAAGACAAACAAATTTGGAAGTTAAACATTATTGTATTCGGACTATGACTAAGACACTCTCTAGCTACATTCCGCTTATTTAAGAAAGCTGTCTATAACATCAACATCTACCACAGTTTACATCTAAAAGAACTTCTRAATGGACTCAGCTGCATGTGACAACACATAAAATTCTTCACTTTGCATATAGATTATTTGCATGTTTCTGATTCATAAATATTATTAGCTCAGCAATAACAAATGTTTTGGAGAAGGAAATTTACTCTTACATTGTAAATCATGAAAAATCAAATTTAGGAAAATTGAAATAATTTGCCAATAGAGATATCTATCTTCCAGCAGTAAAAAAAAATGATCTTTTGCTCTATATTACGCAGAAAGGCAGATAGTATCTTTCTCTATTAGAGAGACTGCCTGAGAACCTATTAGTGTCATTGTTTTTACAATGGAAAACAACAAAAAAGTTAATAGGCTAGTTTCCAACACAGTATGCCATAAACGCTGGGTAAGTAAAACATTTAGGTTAACAATATTCTTTTCACGTGTTTAAAAAATAAGCTGTAAGATGGGGGCAAGAGAAAACCTGTTGACTTTTCAATTTAAGACCCCTTTTTGTATGTGCTGCCTCATGATGTCTGCTTTGGTGCCACTGTACACCAACCCCAAGCAAAAACAAGCAATCCAAAATGCTCAGTAATTTATTATGCTCCAGAGGTARCCTAAAATGATACGTTCTTAAAGACCATTTTTTTCTACAGCTTAAGACTATTGCTAATGCACCTTGTTCCTCATTTAAAAAGCTAATACATTATAATTATAATGCTGCATTTGTACCTCTATAGCCAGCATAAAACCAGCATTTCCATTACAGAATCCTTGCTTCCCGCAGTTTATAGCTTAGCCAGGTACCACTTAGAGCAGTATCTGGGCAACAAATTAACTGCCTAAAAATGCATTCACCATTAAACTGTTAAAGACTATAAGGATTATGTTCATGTATAATGAAATTAATTGTACCCATTCAGTGAGTCGTCCCTAAGCTAAGACTGGACAAAAATATTAGTATTAATGACTTTAAAAGGCAGAGGATGCAAGTTGAACTGTAAGTAATTACAATATGACATATGCATGACCGCATAACTAGCCCATAACTAGCCCATATGGGCATAACTAACCCATAACTGTTGCTATCGTTTCTAAGCAACCACTGACATTGCACAACTTCTGTGTCTTTGAATACCAGAAACATGCACTAGATACAGATCAGCAGTAATGTTTACTTGGGCGCTTCCTAGGGTTTTGCTTCGTTTTTTAACAACTGCCTGTAACTTCAGCAATCTTGAGGACTGTGGCCAAAATGTCCAAGCATACAAGCCAATAGGATGAAGACAAGCACAAGAAAACAGACTATTTCCATTTTATGACTTCTTCAAAAAGCTTAAACTAAACAGGCGCTACCCACTTATTTATCAGTAGTGATAACTGGTGCAAAATTCATTTTAAG